TTTTTTTTTTGGTTTTTTTTTTTTTTTTTTTTTTTGGCAGAAGAGCTAAAAAGAAACTTCTCCAAGAAAGAAATGCAAATGGCCAACAGGCATATGAAAAAATGTTCAATGTCACTTGCAATCAGGGAAATGCAAATCAAAACTACCATGAGATACCATCTCACACCAGTGAGAAGGGCACATATTAAAAAAACTAGCAACAACAAATGTTGGCGAGGGTGTGGAGAAAAAGGAACTCTCCTGCACTGCTGGTGGGAGTGCAAACTGGTCCAGCCACTATGGAGAGCTGTGTGGAGATTTCTGGACCTACTAAACATAGAGCTTCCATATGATCCATCTATTAGTAGGTCAGCCACTTTGGAGAGCTATGTGGAGAGTCCTCAACCTGCTAAAGATGGAGCATTGCTTTTGGCCCCAGAGCTTGCAAAGCACTCTGCAAATGTGTGTGTGCTTTGCCCTGTCTGCCCTTGGGAGACAAGACATTTCACTTGCAGACCTACCTTTTTTTTCTTTTCTACTTCTTTATTTCACCCTCCCCATGGGATCCCCGGGAGGCACACAGTTATAACAGGGACTATCAGGAAACATCCTCTAGGTGGGGAGTGTTTGTTTCCATGGTTCCTGAGAAATTAGGGTGAAGGAAAGAGGCAAAATTTGGGCCTGAAAGCAAATCTATTCTTTTCTCGTTTTAACACATAAACACTCAAGGAATCCCTCTGGGCGAGGGAGACAGACCTCACTTAGCAGTTCATTTAGATTCTGCATGAGAAGGAGATATTGTTTTATTCTTCATTATAAGAGGGGCAATTTCTTCAAATTGACCATTCCCCACCCCCAGCTCTTTTCCAAAGTAGCCTGTTTACAATCTACTCTTGGAGATTACAGTACTTAGTAGAGACAAGTAGAGAAAATTTAGACATTGAAAAGCTTCGAGGCATCCCACAGAGTTGGAATGCTTTTTTCAAAAGGCAAAAAAAAAATCTGCAAATGTGTGTGTGCTTGCTATGTACCCAGAGAACCAGCTGGACAGCCCATAAATGGCTCCCATTCAGAAACAACAAAAGCCCATGTCAGAAGTCAAGGGACAGGAGGCTGAGAACTAATAATAATTTTGCACTTACACAGCAGTTTTCATCCAAAGACCTCAGAGTGCTTTAAAAACATTAATTAAATTGCCCTACAGCCCTGAGAGATGGCTGTGTATCACTATTTCCAATTTGCAGCGGGTGGAGGCAGGAGAAACGTAAGCAGTGAGTGAAGCTGGAACCCAGCCATGCTCCAGTGCATGTGGATTGTGGACTGAGAAAAAGTAGCGTGACTTTACCCCAGTGAATCCAAGGCTGTGGTCACATGTTATGGCACCTTCTGGGTCAAGGATGGCTGGAGACACAGCTGTCCAGGATGGCTCCCCAGTGGGACCCATCTTAAGGCATAATGTGAACAGCGGCTCCCTATAGTGGCTTGGTGGGTGCCAGCCCCATATTCTCCACAAGCTCCTCCCCACGTGCCAGATGGCCATTGTCACACATTCATTCCTTTAGGGGGACACTGTGGCATATCAATCCCCAAGGACCTGCCTCCCATTGCTGGAGGTATATGGTGCCTCCCATAGCTGTGTGGAGGATTGTGATGTCCAATCTGCTCCACAGAAAGCCCCATGGTTGATAACTGATGTCTGCCCTGCATGTGGGAAAAAGTTGTTGTTATATTGAATGAAGTCCCCTCAAGAGAAATGTCAAAGACTCAGTCCTGGCTCCCTGTGCATATGACCTTAGTTAGAAATAGGGTCTCTGTAGATGTAATCAAGTTAAGAAGAGGTCAAGCTGGATTAGGGTGGCCTGAAGTCAATGGCTTTGTCCATGAAAAGTGGCAGTTTAGATACTGAGGAGAGAATAGTAGGTGAAGACGGAGCAAATGGTGGGGTCGTGTGCCTGCGCGCTGAGGAGCGACTAGGATGGCTGGCAGCCAGCACAGCTGGGAGAGGCAGGGAAGGAGTCCTCCTGGGCCTTTGGAGGGAGTGTAGCCTCCAGATCTATGAAAGAATAAATTCTGTCTCTTCAAACTGTAACAGGGGGTCCCCAGTAAAGGGGGAGGTTCCAGGTTCCCTGCCCCACCCAAGGGAGGGTGGAGCTGAGCAGGAAGAGAAGAAGCTGCAGAGGAGACTGAGGAAGGAAGGAAGCAGGATGGAGCCAGAAGGAGACCTGGAGGAGGCGCATGGAGCAGAGACACGTGAAGAAACTGCGCTTGCCTTTTGGTCATGGACGGGGTGACACAGATGTGGGGGAGACCTGTGGGAGGGGACAATGGTGGTTTTTATCTTGATTTTCTTTTTTTTTTTAAAGATTTTTTTTTTTTTTAGATTTATTTATTTATTTATTTATACAAGCACTGGGTACAGTCAGAAGCGCCGGAGGGTGAGAGAATTCACCAGAGCCAGAGCGGGGAGCAGAGCAGGCAGAAGGACCGAAGTACACTGCTGAGGGGAGCAGCGGGCGGCAGGAGAGGTCTGCGCGCCATGTGGGACCCTCCTCTGGTGGCCGGGGAGCAGCCGGGGATCGAACCGGCGCGGCAGAGGCCGCGGGCAGCTTCACAACCTAGCGCTCAACCGCTGCGCCACCGGGGAGGCCCTTTATCTTGATTTTCATTTTGCTTTTTTCCTACCAGACTTGTCTGGTTGTTTCTGTGGGTCCCCACTGGAAGGTGCTTTAGACTGTGACAGGCTTTGGGGCCTTGCTCTGGGCCAATCCCCTATGGATGGAGTTCTACCCACGAGGGGACGGGTAACTTTGGGTGCTTGATTTAGAAACTAGATTCTTTGCCTTTCCTGTATGTTTCCTAATTGTATTAAAGTTCCTTCCCATGAAAGTCTCATATGTTTTGTGTTGATGCAGCAGATGGCAGAACCTATTTAGAGCAGGCAGGTTTGGGGGTCAGGGGTACCCCTCTCCCTGCCCTGTAACAAAACCACCCAGATTGTGGCACTTTGTAGCAGCAGCCCCGGGAAATAAATACAGCAGACTAGTTACCGGGAGTTTCCAAAGGCAGATCATTCAATCATTTATGAAAGACACTTGCCATGGCTGTAAAAAGCCAAGGTTTTCTGGAGAGCCTGGACTGTGCCAATGGAGAGCAGGACAGGGTAGGCACATCATAGTGGTAGGGACAGGAATTTCCTGACATGGCACTTGCTGAGTGTTCTCAGCTGCTTATGCATTTTAACAGGTCAGTCCTGTTGTGATGTGTTGAATTGTAATCATGCAAATGCATTTACTGTATTCTACTTCTTAATCCCTATAATAAAAGAGAAAGCAGATCAAGGAATGCATTGAGAAATCAGATCAAATGTAGCAAGAAGGAAAAATAATCTATAGGAATTAAGATCCAAAATCTGAGAGATGAATCTGGCTTGATTGGGGCTGCGGACATATCAGACAAATGATGCAAATCTGTTGCATCCATCGTTGGTCTCGCTCTGTTCCGGTTCCTTTACAAATGTGCAAAGTCTGGGAGGAGTAACACAAAACAACATAATCATGTCAGGCGACATACTAATTCGAAAAAGGGAATGATCCTCGGAGATAGGAATTGACATACATGAGTTAGGATGCAGGCTGTCCTTTGTTAGCTTTATGGTGTGAAGCAAGTCACTTGACCTCTCAGTGCCTCAGTTAACTCATCTGCCTGGTGGGTGTAATGACACTCTTATAGGCTTATTGTGAGAACGAAATGATGTGGTTGTTCAAAAGCCTACTCTAAAGATGTGTATTATCAGCAAAATTTGCTTCTGCTCAAGAAGTGATTTTCCTTAGGTAAGATGGAGAGAGGCAGAGGATGAGGATGAAGGACAAGACCCAGTGAAAGACCACAATCCAAGTTTTCTAGTTGATCTCAGGGTAGCCTGAGGCCTTCAGCTTTCCTCCTTGTCCAGAGTACCCCAGAGTTTCAGGGAGTGAGAGCAGCTGCCAGCTGAATTGGGCTGCCTGTGGTGACTGAACTGTTCCCTTCTCTGCTTTGCTCCCCGAGGCAGGGTCCACATTTGGGGGACTGCAGAAGGGAGCACTGGAGGCAGCTCCAGCTGTCAATGGAATTCTTTTCATTGGCTGGGAGCCAAACAGAGCAAAGAAAGGAAATAGAATTTGCTCCTGTCAGACCCTGCCAAGGGAGAAACCAACACGCTTACCTCCTTTGAAAGTGCTCTCTGGACCACAATTAGATGAGTCAACCTTAATTTACCCAAACAGAAACAACCTCTGCTAAATGCCTCATCATCTTTTCATACATTTACGCGTGTTAACAAGTTTTGAATATAACTTATTTCCCCAGGCTCTACATTAACCGTGGGCTTCAATAAAAATATCTTCGACCTTGAATTTCTTCGCCAAATATGGCTGGTATTCTAAAATAGGTCCAGCTCCTTGTGGGTCCTCGGTGGCTCGCCCTTGGCCATCATGGCGGCCTCCTCATGGGACAGTCATGCCACACTTGCTCTGCCACCTAGTGGGCTCGTTCAGCAACTGCATCTGCGTTCCTGCTGCCAAGGTTGCTGCAGGCTCACTGCTGGTGTCCATGGCTGTTCTTGCTGCTGCTGCTGCTGCTATGGGCCCATAAAAGTTGGGAATTGCTCTTTTGCCAGTAAAAGCCTCCAAAAGCTAACTTCTTGAAATTTCTTTCAGTTCCTGGAATCGAGGTATTTTGCACCATCCCCGTGCTGCATTCAGAAACATCTTGTCTCCCCACGACTTGCCAAAACCCACAGTGCAGTCCAGGTACTTGACAAAGACTCTCCTTCTACCCAACTGTAAGCAGGCTCTTCTGAACCCTCTGCTGGACTAGGCCCCACTTTGGGCTTCCCTCTCTGTCTTTGCAGAATACACTTTGAGCAAGTATCTTGTAAAATCAATTTAGTGCAAGTTCCCACCCTTAGTATCTCACCCCCCTCGAGCCTTGATATTCTGTTAATATCCCCTGATCTTCCTTCAGCAAGAATCCCCCTTACTTACCCTGATGTCTCTTCTTAGGAATTTTCCATGTGCTGATAACACCCCCGCTCTGTTTCTTGGGTAAAAATCCTCATTTGTTCTTGTTGGTTCAGAGCTGAGTCCAATCTCTCTCCCCTCCTCAACACCACGCTGTAGTAACCCCTGTAGAATAAAGTCTGCCTTGATGAGCTTATCAAGAGTTATAAACAACTTTTTCTCTTACATGCCTCAGCTGGCATGGCGGAACAACGGCTCCCATACGGTCGGAGTAGACTTTCTCCCCCATCTTTGACATGCTTCATCCCGGGAAGCGCCAGACCCATCAGATGTCAAGTCTCTCAACCATCTCTCCCAGCAGGCCTGCTGAGCTCGGCAGCCACCTAGCTTAGATCTGCGAGGGCGTTTGGAAGTTCACATCACCTTTCTCATTGCCAACAAGTGAGACTTGAATTCTTTGTTTAGAAAAATAAAGCCTCCCGTATTTTCTGCTGGGGTACACCAGAGCTCGCCCCCAGCCCTGCTCAGGGTGAGGGGGTAAGTTCCCTGGCAGGAGGCAGGACTGAGGGTCCAGAGCTTGTGTCTCCTCAGAGCCCCTGACATGACTCAGCTCAGAGCGGCCCTGACTGGCAGGATGTGGCGGGAGGCCTGGCTTTCTAGGTTTCCCAGGTTGTCCTAACGAGATAGAAGTCCAGGAAGAGCAGGGAGGGAGAGCTGAAGCCTTGTTTTCTCTCTTTGCTGCTGCTGCCTAAATCACGCCAGCTGGTGAGGATGCACCACCCTGGCAGCTTTTTCTCATGAAAACCCAATCCTATCATCCCCCTGCTCTGTGAGGAGAGAGCCACTTCCAGTCTCCAAGAGCAGCCTGGAGAATCTGGGCATAAAAAAGAGCCCTTTTTTAGGTTAAGACTCAAACTATGAAGCTGTCTGCAGCCTCTGCAGCACAAGTTCGATCCTCGGCCAGCCAAGGAGCTACCCACATGGCACAGCAGACCTCTCCTGTCTCGCCCGCTGCTCCCCTCAGCAGTGTATCTCAGTCAGTCTGCCTGTTCTGCTCCCCACTCTGTCTGTGGTGGATCCCCTCGCCCCCCACACCTCTGGCCTGTACCCCAGCTCTTGTATGCATAAATAATCTTTAAAAAAAAAAAAAAAGATAGTGAGAAGAGAGGTCTGGGGCGATCCCCTGCTGGGAATGGGGCTGGAATACACACGAGGAGCTGGGGCTCGGCGCCGGGCACTTTACTTCCATTAGCTTTTTCTCCACTTTATAGATTAGGGAACTGAACCTCACAGAGGTTAAATAATTTCCCAGGGTCCCATAGCTCCGAATGGAGCCAGGATTCAGACTCAGGTCTGCGATCTATTTGACTTCGATGCTGCGGCTCTCTCCATGAAACCCTACTCCTCCCACGGGGCTCGGGGAGCTGGTGGAAATGTGTGTGCTCGCGGGGACATGTCCAGTAGTTTGGGGTCAGGCTTCTATTGCAGAAACCTGGCTGCCTTCTGTCTACTGCCCCTCTGTGCCTCAGGCCCGTGACCATTCATGAAGTTCCCAATAAAATACTGGTAATGATGTCGAGGTGACAAAGGGCATCCCTCCAGACATCTTGAAGGACCCTGCGCTGAGTAAGCCCAGACCCGAGGTGACCACAGACCCCGGGGCAGGTTGGGGCGTGAGCAAACTGGCAACCAAGCCTGGAAGGTCCCTAAATCAGAGCCAGGAGTTAGTTATGTCCCTTTGGCAAGGTCGATCTGTGCAGCAAGCCCTTGGGGAGCAGATCACCCAGTCTGACAAGTGACCTTGACAGACTTGCAGCGGTCGTGTTTGCACTGGTCGAGTCAGTCTTGGTCAACTTCTCCAGAGCGTTAATTGCAAACATTTAAGTCTGCGACTCCACACAGCTCCCGCCCTGTCGGCTCGCCTCTCCCCCTTAGCTGTTTAAAGCAGCTCTTGTATGCATAAATAAATAAATCTTAAAAAAAAAAATAAAGGATTTATCTCGTGGCTTGCACGAGCGACATCTCTCTCTCCCCTGGGAGCGGGAGTCTCCAGCCTGCCTGCCTGCCTCCCCTGGAAGGGCGGCGAAGCAGCACCAGGAGGGTCTGGTTCTGAGCCCCCTGAGCAGCGCTTGCATTCAGTGACCTTCTGTGCAGTAGCTCTGTCTTTCCGGGATGGAAATTGATTTTCCTCCTTTCTGTGTGTGAGCAGCACCCGAGGGTGCAGCTCTGTCACACACGCTGGCCTCAGGTGTGTGTTTAAAGGTGAACAGCGATGCTCTTGAAAAGATAAATGAGTAAAGTTGTTGTAAGAAGCCCACCATAACCTCTCCCCGTGAGCAGCATGTGTGCTTCCGTTTCCAAAGAGCAGCTTTCATGTCCCCAGGCCGTTTGGGGTGCTTGTGTGTGTGCAGGGGTAAAGGTAGGTGTCTGAAACTGAGAGAACAACTATCAAATTCCAGATGTGTGTCCTCAGGGCTGGGCAACATTACTCATTTTTCCTTTTGCCTCAGGCTCCAATACGACTTGACATGGCACATTTTGATGTTACTATAATTTTTTTTAAAGATTTATTTATCTATCTATCTATCTATCTATCTATCTATCTATCTATCTATCTATCTATCTATCTATTTATTTATTTATACAAGCACTGGGTACAGTCAGAAGCACGGGAGGGTGAGAGAATTCACCAGAGCCAGAGCGGGGAGCAGAACAGGCAGACTGACGAAATGCTGAGCAGAGCAACGGGCGCAGCAGGAGAGGTCTGTGCGCCACGTGGGACCCTCTCCGGCGGCTGGGGATCGAACCGGCACTGCAGAGGCTGTGGGCAGCTTCACAGCCCAGTGCTCAACCACTGCGCCACCAGGGGAGGCCCTACTATAAATTTTTTGACACGAATTCTGATTTTAAAAATGCTGGGTGAAGATGCTAGTTATTGTGATGACTGAGCCCCCTTAAGGTTTGCATGCTGGTGAAGCCCCTTTCTCTGGTCCAGGCATCCTTTAGCATGGCTCGAATGAGAGGTAGGAGTGATTCTGAGATGGGCTGAAGATACTAACTGGCATTTATTTTCAGCCTTCGAACTGAAATTTGAGTCACGGGATAATTTCTCTCGGCGATCACAGTTTAAGCCCAGAATGGTGTTCCGATCTTGTCACCTTGTGGGCCACAGCCAAAGCCAAGCTAGAGTAAAGTTGAATTGGTTCTCTTGGGGACAGTGTCAGTTCTATATATATTGTGGGTGCTCCAAGAACAGCCCAGTTCCCAGGGGGACACGATGTGGTCTTGGCAGATGCTCAAGTTTACTTTCGGTGCCCAGTTCCAGTTGATGCTCTTTGCAGAGGCGTCTCATCTTCCTCTTCCAAGCCCCTCAGCTGATTGCCCAGGAACAGCTGCTTGTCCCTGGCCCCCCACCCCCCATCACCTCTGTGCTCACCTCCAACAGTCTGCATATGTGTCATTTTAATAGCTGCTCTTTGAGGATATGACCTGATGACTTGGGTGCATCTGGGTAAGTGAGGTATTCGAGGCCCTCTGTGCCCCAGCTCCACTACACACTGGTCCATTTGTTGGCAAGTCCATCTAAAGGCATTTCGTGGAGAGAGAGAGATGGGCAAGTGGTTGAAAATATCACAGTGACTGCTCTGCTCAACATGTAATACCCTTTTACATTCTCTATTTCAGATCTTTCGTGGGGCTGTTGACTGGCAAGGTTAAGGGTTAACATGATGAGCTGAAAGACCGGTCACTTGCAGTAAGAGGTCAGTAAAACCTGACTTAAGCTTTTGGTTTTTACTTTTCCAGGGTATTCTTTGTCACCTGCAAACTGCTCTTCCTCTGTCTGTATATGCCTTCTTTCAGGAGCTGACAACATTGCCTAAACCTCACCAATGTTGCTAATTTTACCTCCTTAACCATTTAGACCCCACTCTGCTGCCAAAGAGGTCTTGTTCAAATGCTAATGTGACTGCATCACATTTTCTTTCAGGACCTTCTTCACCTCCTTCTGGCCTAAAAGGGAAGATTCAAGTTCCCTGATCTGGCTCAGCCCACCTCACTGCATTCATGGCTCACTGCTCTCCCTTGCAGCACTGTATCAACCCCAGGGACTTTGCACACACCCTTCCCTCCTATCCTATGCTAGTTTCCTGTCTGGGGTAATTGCATGTCCGTCAATCTTCTTAGAGTTGAGTCCCCAAGAAGGTCCGGTGCTGGTGGAGTGTGGGGTTCTGCAAGTCGGCTTTTGCTCACTGCCTTGATATCAGTAGAATACATGCCCTGCCCATTGTCATTCCTGCTGGTCTGGATTCTGCAACCTCTCATGTCCCTTTTATCTCCCTGCATCTCTTGGTAGGCGGGGATGGGGACCAGCTGTCTGGCTGGACAAGTTGATAGAGCAGACTGAGGGCCCTTTGGCCTCTTTCATGATTTCCAATCAGTCCTCCTGTTTTCAGACTTCTCCCTCCGTTACATGGCACTAAGGGTCACTAATTTCCAGACCTTTCTAGGGACCTAGTGGGCAGATCATTATCAGTGATATCTCTTTTTTAGAGGTGCATAAGATACAGCTTTCCCAGGGTTGCCAAACTCTTTGGTCCAAATTAATTTTCTCATAAAAATCTTACATCATTTTCAATTCCATTAAAGGATTTGAGGGCGCTAATCCTCAGATGACTTCTGAGCCCAAGACTAGCCTATGATTCATCACGGAACTCAGGCCGTGGGAATGTTGTCTAATTCTCTTTCTTTTCTAGTCGATTGTGATCAGGAAAATCAGGCCTTATTGGCTTAGGAATAAGCTGGCAAAATACTGTGCATTTGCTTTGAGGTTTAAATAAAATGTTGATTGTGTGTGCAGATCATTTTTTATGATTGCTCACTTCAGTAAACTTTCTGATTCACTGGCTGACAATGGCAGTGCTGAGAGGAAGGTCTGTGAAAAGGAACACATGAGGTTTATGCTGGGGAGGAGCTGGAGGGCCTGCTAGGGGCATGAGTGATGTCACCTCTGGCCCAGGGAGTCAGCAGACTACCTGTGTCCCCTCCGTGACTTCGTGGCTAATGGCATAAGGTTCAGGGACAGATGTTATTGGACCCACTGAATAGTTCAGAGCACTTAGAAAAGACCAAGTTTTCATTATGCTTTCCAAGAGTGGGCTGTAATT